TTGGCCATCTGAATGTCTTCTTTGGTGAAGTGGTAAGCAATTTATTTTTAAAGTTACAGGGTATAACGTGGGATTGGGATCAGAAAGTCTCTCTGTAAAGTCTCTCTCCTTAAGTGCAGGTCTCTCAATACCCTCAGAACAGGACTTCTCTTGACTTCCTCAGGACAAGCACTTCTAGGCCCCATTATTTGTCACAATTGACTCTGCCTCCATGTCCCTTCCTGCCCTCTGTCACTTCTAGGTCTCTCACTATCTTCAGTGTTTGTAGTCTTTGATCTACACTACAGTTCTCTCTCTCTCTCTCTCTCTCTCTGAGTGTGTGTGTGTCTGTGTCCCCCTACCCCTTCTCTCTTATTCCTTCCTTCTACATCTATTCCTGCTTATTTCTGTCTTAGAAGCCTCTGTGGGACTGGTTGCTTGTATACATAATTTGCTTGTCAATTTCAAGGCATGGCCTTTTCCACAGAACCAAGGCAAAAGGCCATATAAAGGAATTCATTTCATCAGAGCATCTCAGTTGCTTTTCCTAAAAATTGCAGATGATGGAACCTGATCAAGGATTGCCTTGAGGGTAAAATGAAGTAATATGTGTAAGTATTTTCAATATGATGAATATTAACCTGTAATAATAATGGTAGTGTGAGAGTAAATAAAGGAATTCATGGTGGGGAAAAAAGAAGATAGAAGTTAAAGAATGGTAGAGGTAAGGCAACAAGGAAGCATATGTACAGCCAGCAGCAGGAGGCCAGGAGATGTATTGTCCTGGGCAAGTCTGCTGTCAAAGATCACTCCAAAACACTTAAGACTAAAATGTGCCTGATTCAGACCATGGTCTTTTCAATCACTTGCTATGCATCTGAAAGCTAAACAATAAGGATGATAGAAGAATTAAAGTCTTTGAAATTTAGTGTTAGAGAAAAGTATTGAACATCCCATGGACTATCCAAAAAAGACCCAAAACAAACAGGTATATCTTGAGAAAAGTGCATCCAGAGTCCTCCTTGTAAGCAAAGATGACAAAACTTCAGCTCTCATCTTTTGGACAAGTTGCTAAGAGAAGCTATTCTTTGCAAAGGGACATCATAGAAAGCTTGGAAAGATCAACAAAGAAGAGGAAGACAACCTCCAATGAGATGGACAGACACAGTGACTACAGCAATGGGCTCAAATGTGTCAGAGGTGATGAGGATGGCACAGGATAGCAGGGTTCAGGTCTGTTGTTCACAGGGTCACCATGGGTTGTACTCAGTTCAATGACACCTAATAACAACAATAACCCATAAAAATTATAGTCACTATGCTGTGTACTTCTGTACCATTTTCTTATTTAATAAAACCATCAGCCTAAAGGACATGTTATTTTATCATTCCACATTACTAGTAAGTGGAACTTAAAGAAGGGCACTTGAACCTAGGTTTGGGATGAAGTCTCAGACTCCAACACAGAAAGACTGAGTTTACAGTGGACCCTCTCTTTTATCTCTTCAGCAACCTTCATTCTTTCTCTTCACTTTCTTTGTTTTACTCCTGGGACACAATTGCAGTGCCCAATATTCCCACCGAGTTCCCAATATTACAGTCTTTCTTCTTTTTTTCCTTTAGTCTTGGTACTTAAAATTCCTTCCCCTCTCATCTTGATCTCTAGCCTTTCATTTGCACTTCCTCAGGAAAGAGCAAAGAAGGGAGGGATATTTGAAGTGCACAGGAACACAAAGAATTTTAAAATTACAAATTCCACAATTCTTTTATTACATCTCATTGATAAAGGGAAGGGAAGGCTGGTTTGCAATGTAGGTAGATCAAAGTGAATGATTTAACAGGAAGTTGGCTAAGTTTCCATGTCGGTTGATGTCCATTGATGTTGTACAACTCAAATCCTTTCTCCTGCATCTTACTTCCTTGCATTAATGACAGCTTCCACTGTTTATAATCAGAAGCTCAGCAGGAGGATGGGAGAGTGACTAGCCAGATGTGCAGGATTCCACAGAGACAGGGCATGTGAGGTCTTAGTGTACACTTCCTCCTCTTGTGCTAGCACATATTCCAGGCTGGTTAGTCTTTATATTTTCCATTAAATTTTTTCTTTCCACAAGTTTCTTTCAACTCCTCAAATCCATCAGTTAACTCGTTTAGGAGAGATTTCCATTTAAAGTCTAGAATATATCCATAAAGAGAAGAGCTGTTAGTAGAAAAAGGCTGAAACTTTGAAGGTCTTCACGAGAACAGAATGCAGGGCAGCCAGACCCACTCCCCATACCTGTATTTAAGGGAAATATTTTTTTTTAATTCTTAAAATGTCCTCCTTGTTCCCTTCATACTGACTCTAAGCATCTTCATTGTATTTGAATTTGGCTTTTCAGCTGCCAGAAACCATGGACTGTGATTTTTAAAATGGTTTTACTCTTGGACCTTGGTTAATAGCCCTTATCCTAGAGTATATAGGTGCCTTCCCACAAATAAACAGGAAGAAGCTTGTATTAAGTGTTCCTAGTGGAAAGGAAGTTATGCTGCCAAGCTGAAGGTGGGTGATTTTCATCTGGGGCCCTCAGCCAGGTTCAAATTGTCTTCCTGTCAAACATTATTCTAGGTGGTATAGCACTGGTCTGGGCGTTGCTGTACAGAGGGAACTTGTGTTGCTGTGAAGCTGAACACTTGTGACAGTGATATGCCAATCGTGGTAATAGGTACCCATGGTGGACAGTGTTGGCTGGAGCTTCCCGACTAAAACAAGCCTGGAAGCAGCAGTGGCATCCACTTCTGAAATGGCTTGCCTCCGGAAACTCTATGTACGAACAGTGCTCATGCCGTTCGTTCATAGGGTCGCTATGAGTCGTCTACGACTCGACGGCACCAACAACAACAACAACAGTTCTTGAAACTAACCTTGGTTTCTCAGGTCAGGTTTCTCATTAACAGATACATCGCATTTATCTAGGACGGAAATCTACAGAACGAGGGGATATCATGGACATCACACAACTGGGTTGGGTAGCATCAATCTCTGCTACACAGAAGTCTGAGCTTGAGAGAAATCTCATTCTCTAGCCTATTATTTATTAGCAAAGAGAAGTCATAATTCAGATCCCTTGGTTGCAGGGGGCAAATGGTGAAGAAGAAGCCTTCTTATTATCTACTGAAAGTTGATATGAAAATCCTAATCTGTGAGGATTACAGAAGGCCACAACAGACACAGATGCCAAGTGCAACATGGAACATTTTGTCTAGGAAGTGGGTATCCGGAATATCTGAGCTCCCTCATGAGGGCAAATGGAGTGACTCCCTACTGGGAAAAACATCTGAGATGTAGAATATCATATATTACACAGTGTGTTGATATCTTTTTCAAGAATAATGTAAAAATAGAGAAAGTAGGTGACTACAAGCAACACCTAGAGGACAAACAAGTAGGTATGAACTCTCACTGCCTTCTAGCAACTGGCCTGTTTAAAATTGTGTCACTCTCTAGGAAATAACTGTTACTATTAAATTTTTTTATTTCCACTCATTCATTGTTGTATTTTTCTCCCTATCTTCACCTCTCCCCCTAGTTCGATCTTCTTTTTGAAAAGTAAAAGAAAAATTCTTTCATTGATGCTATTAATCTTTTATAAAATGTTGTTGTTGTTGTTGTTATGTGCTGTCGAGTCACCTGCAACTCATAGTGACCCTATGAACAACAAACAGCCCTAAACCCTGCTCTATCCAATATTATTGTTTCTGACACACCTACCCCCGTTACCCCTGGATGAGAAATTTTAACTACTCTGTATATAACTTTTTTTTCACCTTTATTTCTATTACACTGGAAAAGCAAAGTGAAATAAAAGAAAACAGTAAATAAGCCAGAAGGGGAAAAGAGGGGGAAATCATAAATGGATATTTTTGTGGGATAGAGTTTAACGTTTTGAAAGATAGATGTAGGTTAGGATTGAAAAATAAATGTATGTTAGTATTGAAAAATAGACATGGGTTAGTATTGAAAGTTTGGAAAGATAGATGTGGGTTAGTGTTAAGTGAGGGGTATTGATTGGAGATAGATTCTATTTTATTGGAGGATGTCAAAGTATGAGGAATAGCTACAAGAGAGATCTTTTAAAAAAAGATCTTGTGAGGACAATTGATTAAGAGAATGCGTGCAGTTCAGAACAACTTTATGAAGAAGCAGACAAAATAAGGATGGGAAGATTGCAGGATATTTCTTTTCATGCAACCACACAAATGAAGTGAGCCAAGAACATAACTGAAACCTGACCCAGTGTGGTAGACTTTTCAATAGAGGCTGCACTTGTCTACTTGTGGCAGCACTGTGTCTGGGACTTGGTACCCAAAAACTGTAGTAAATAATATGTGGTCTAGTTAACTCCACCTTAAGGGGCTACCTAGAAGTAGTTTGTAATACATAACTCATTGCCCTGAAATTGGAACCAACTCAACTGACCCTCCAGTGGGTTTTCAGGAGACTGCAAACCCCACAGGACGAAAGTGCCCATCTTTCTCCCATGGAGCAGCTGGTGGGTCCAAACCACCAGAGAGACACTTTTGGGTTAACAGCATACCTACTTACGGATATTCCACAAGAGCTCCTCTGGCCAGGACAGGGTAGATTATAAACCATAAAATTGGCTATTTTTATCATCCTCTCCATTCTATTCGTGGGCCTCACTGCCTAAACTGGGAAAATGAGTTATCTCTTTTGGGCCCACGTCCTGTGCAAGCTGGCCTTCCTAAGCCTTCTACTGCTCAAGTGGCTCTTATTTCTTTCCGATTGCTGGAAGAAACGGAGCCAGCCAAAGGGAGAAGAAGAACAAGGAGTCAACCAATGGCAAAAAAATAAATAAGATTTTGTCTCATTCACCTGAGGAAGAAAAATCCTTGAAGTTGGCTTGCACCAGCCTGTTGTTCAAGGGTTGGGTCTTGCGGTAATCATTGCGGAGGGTCTGATTCTGGTAGTCAAGCAAGGAGCTCTCTATCGTCGCAATCTGCAGACAGTCAAAAGTGAGTTGGGAAGGAGAAGAGGTCCTGATTAATTTAAACTTTGATAAAGAAGTTAAGAGACGATTCAAGCCCAGAGGTATTATTCTTCCAACCAACATGTATTTGTAAGCAACCTCTTAATTCCCTCTCCCCCATCAATAGTCAACAGTAGAAAGAAATGGAAAAAATAAACAACAGAAGTATATAAAGAAGTACCAAATGTCATTTTGGATGTTCTGAAAATGTCTGTATTTTGTCTATATTCTTGACAGGTATTTTTTCCCCTGTATATGCAATTCTAAGCGAGTTTTTCATTTCTCTCAGCTCTTTGACAATGTGAAGCCTTAGCTTCTGATTTTCCTTATTGTTGTGTCGAATCTATTCTCAGCCTAATTGTGCTTTTTCCGTGAGAATCTGTCTTTTAAGCCTGATCAGTTTTTTAATATTCTCTTTATCTTTAATGTATTGCGATTTTGCTGCAAGGAACTTCATGTGGTCTCTTTTTCTTTGTTCTGATTCAGGAGCTTCCTGAATAAACAGATACCATCTTATCCTTCCATTCCTTTGGGAAATTGTTAGATAGCAATTTTTTTCTTTAGTTTCTCTGGATTTATTAGGGAATTCATTATAAAAGTCTAACTGGGCTTTATAGGCATGATTTCATGGTTTCAAACAAGAAAATAAGAGTTAACACTGATATTCAGCTTTCTCATTACATACACAGAAATAACATTACTACCAACTGCAATGGAGAGAATTTGGCTTCAAATATATTCTAGAATGAAAGCACCAATTTGAAGGCTTATTAAATGTGATTTGGGTAAAAAACTCTTAGTGTATACTCATATTTTTACTTATGCTTTTGAAAACATTTACTTGCAGCATTAATACATATACATATCCAGTTATACCTTATTTATATGAATAATAGTTACTACCAAGTACTACTTTATTTTGTGGAGAAAAAAACCTCAGCTTTTTAAAAAATAGTGTCTTTCCCATAGTCTGTATGTAATATCTTAGGACCTTGATTGTATGTTCCATGGCTTGTACGTCTATGAATATTAGACCACAATCTCACTGCTGTTCGTTTCTGTGGGATTCTACTTTTATTTTGTTTGGCTGTGAATTCTCCCTGTTTATTTATAACTTATTGATACACTCTTTAAATGCATCCTAACAAAATACTATGCATCAGAATTCTGGACAATAACTAAGGGTGATACACAAGAATTGATGTCTGAGTAATATTACTGGAGAAGAGTATTGAATGTATCATGAACTGCTAAGAGAACAAACAGGTTCGTCCTAGAGAGGGTAAAATCAAGGTGCTCCTTAGAGGCAAGGATTTTGAAATTCTGTCTGACATACTTTGGGCATATTGCAAGGAGGGACAAGTCCTTGGAAAGGGAAATTCTGCTTGGGAAGGTGGAAGGACAGCACAAGACAGGAAGACCCTGGATGAGATGGATTGATTCAGTGACTGGGGTAATGGGAGTAGGTGTGTCAGAGGAAGTGAGGTTAGCTCAAGATACACCAGGGTTCAGAGCTATTGTACATAGGGTCACTATGAGTTTCAGGTGACTCAATGGCACATAACAGCAAGAACCACAAAATACCATAGGATGTATTTAGGTTTTTAATTTTATTTTGTTTCAGTTTTTTAAAACCAGAACAATCTCTATTGAGGGGAAACCAAATCTGTCACATTAGCAGAACTCCATATTGTTTTTTCATTTCAAATTTGATCTCTTTTCATCTAAGAGCTACTTACTACTTTTGAACTTCCAGACAGTTTGTGGATTTTTTAGGGTTGATTTCCAGTTCTTTTTCATTATAAGAGTGTAGTTGATAAGATTTTTTTTAATTGCAATTTTCTGGTAGAGTAACAGTTGGCTAATTTTTGCCCAGTGCATGGATATTTATAAAGCATGAAGGGAGCTTCTGCTGTATGAGATGTAGCATGTTGAGCTGCTAGCCAAGAATACACATGTCCACTGGGTATGAATTTCCAGATGTCTAATAAATCAACCTTGCTAATTTTGTTGTTGATATAGTTCTTATTCGTAATTCTATTTTGTATTTCCTTATCTGACAAATTGCTTGATATGTAAATTGATATGGTTGTTTTAACTTCTTGGTGGTGGTGGTTATTTGCCATCAAGTCAAAACCAACCCATAGCTGACTCTCCAGTGAGTTTTCAGAGGCAGTTAAGCCCACAGGAGGAGATTGCCCACCTCTTCCACGAGGCATCTGGTGGATTTGAACCACATGCCTTTGAGATTATAGAATAGCTTCTCACCACTAGGCCACCCGAGCAATAAAATACTCTCTGTTCTATTTGGCCCTTTTGCCCCTGAAGTTCACTTTCCTTCATTGTACTAATGCCATTCTTGCCACTGTATATTTTTCATTCGTTAGATCTTTATCATACATTTCTTTTTTAATCATTGTTTTCTTGTGATTGTCTCTCCAAAATGAAAACAAACAAACAAAACCAAAATAGCCCACTGCTCTGTGTTTTTCTGTCAGGATAATAATAAGGTGATGCCTGGTTAAGTACTTAAGTAAGTACTTTACTCTGTGTATGTATGTGCTTGTATGCTCTTACTTTGAAAGTCTTCGTCTTTTGTCTTAAAATCACTTCTTGCTTTCAAGGTAAACGTCAAAGGAGACTAGATAATAAATGATGATTCTTACAATTAAATGGGGTGGCTTCAGGAAAGGTTTCAGGAAATAAAATTTGGAGCCCTGATGGCTTAGTGGTAAGGGATTGCACTGCTAATCCAAAGGCAAGTGGTTCAAATCCACCGACAGCTCCTCAGCAGAAAGATGAGCGAGCAGTCTCATCCTGTACTGTTTACTTCCCCTCAAACCTGGTCAGCTATGAGTTGATTACCACTCAAAGGTACACAACAACAACAGCTGGCAAGGGAGTTTGGGTGGCCTAGTGGTAAGGAATTGTGCTGCCAGCTCAAAGGCAAGTGGTTCAAATCTACCAGCTGCTCCTCAGGAGAAAGAGGCAATCTCCTCCTTTGTGATTTACTACTTCTGAAAACCCATGGAGGATCAGACATGAGTCAGTTCCCGACTCAAGGAAAAGAACAGTTGGAAATATTTTTGTTTGTGTCAATATTCTTGCACAGTCACCTTACCTATCTTTCTCCTCGAGCAGGAAAATGGATACTTTGGTGGTGGGGGGGGGGGGGACAGGAAGAAATACTTCTTTCTGAAAAACATTACCCTGGAGGAAATATAGCCATGGCCTTGCAACCCTGTCCTTTTATTCAATCCAACTAATATTTATTGTGTTCTAGTACTGTGGTGGTGGTGTTGTTGTTATGTGCTGTCGTGTCGCCTGCAACCCATAATGACCCTATGTACAGCAGCTCTGAACCCTTCTCTGTCCTGAGCCAGTCTCACTAATTCTGACACACCAACCCCCGTCGCCCCAGTTGTATCAATCCATCTCATCCAGGGTCTTCTTCTCCTGCACTGTCCCTCCACCCCTCCAAGCCTAATGCCTTTCTCCAAGGATTGGTCTTTCCTGGCCACGTGCCCAAAGTATGTGAGATGAAGCTTCAAAATCCTAGCCTCCAAAGAGAAACTTGGAGTGCTAGGGAACATGTAATGATACAATTATCCTCCTCAAATGGTTGCCAGTGTTTATCAATGGGATGATAAAAAGTTAAGTGTGGTGCTGTCCTTCTAGCATAAAGTCACTTAAGAGGCTAGCACGTAACCTTCCTGAGGACAGAGAGTTTGTGTATCAACAATCCAGAGCAGTGCCTGGCAAGAGCAGCGTTCAATACCTACTTGCCTTCCCTCTCCTCATTACCTCACTGCCATTGCAGGGAAGAGAGCGTCCATCTCTCTCCCGTTGCTTTTGCTATACACCCTCTGTAACTGTAAAAGGGAGCTCTGATGGTATAGTCCACAGGCAGCTGCCCTGCTAACCCTAAGGCCGACTCTCTGGTTGTTCAAATCCACCAGCCACTCCACGGGAGAAAGAAGACAATCTCCTATCATGCCAGTTCCAACTTGACAACAATGAGTTTGTGAGTTTTATATAATTCTTTGCCTATTACTTTGGATCAGGCACCAGTCATGGAACTTACACCAACTCTTAAATTCCTTGCATTCCTCAACACTTTAATTTTCCTATCTTTGCCTACCACTAGTAAGACAATCCCATGGCAAAATAAGTGAGGCCTAGTATTCCCCATGGGTGGCAAATCCTGGAGGAGACTCAGCTGTTGACAGAAAGTGAGATTTGGGAATGCTTTCTCCAAAATTACTCATATTAATTATATAACACTTATTAAACCAGTAGTCCAAAGAATAGACATTAGTAGGAAAGTGCCACATATTACCTGTGTCCTGGAGAGCTTGACAGAGTCTGCTAGCACAAACCAAAGGACATTCTCAGTACAGGGAGGAGTGGTGAGTGAGCCCAAGTAGGTGTAGTAGTTATGGAGGTTATTGGGCAGCATATCTCGAATGTCAAGGCCAGTCAGAGTTGTGCTTTGTCCTAATAAAGGGACAGGAGGAAAAAGGAATGTTAATAGTCACTGCTGCCTCTTGGTTCAAATCTCACTGTGTTTTAATCTCCTGATGGATGTAAGCAGAACAACCAGAAGCTGATCACTGGGATGTGGTTTCCCCGTTTACTGCCACCTAGAAGGAAGTAAGAGCAGAGGCTTTCAGAATAGACATGCTCACATGCCTTCCCTGACTGAGTGGCCTCGGACAGACTTCTCTCCCTTTATAAGCTATTTCCTGGACTATAAAACGAGGACGAGTAAGTAAAATAGAGCAGATATTTAGTATTCATGAAAAGACAGGCAAAGAAGACATACATAAACATAGCTGTTACTGTCAGTATTGTTAGAGAAGATTGTTTATGATAGATGGAAGAAATGAATTATGACCCCTTGAGGGTTCTGGGTTGGTGCTAGAAATTCTCATTTTGAGGTCATTTAAAAATGAGTGGATAGAGCTCAGAAAAACAGAGTCTGATCCAAATCAGGATTCAGATGCCTGCTTCTGAGTTCTTCCTGCCACAGCCATTGGGAACCAAGCTTAACTGCAGTTGTGGTGTTGAGAACAGACTCTTTTCCTACAACCAGGAGAGAGAGAAAAAAAAAATTTTAAAAAGATGATGGGATTTTCTAAGAATCAAATACCTATGCACATTCAAAAACGTCTCCAATAAGGTAAAAAGGAAAGCCACAGACTGAAGAGAAAAAATCGGTACTGACATCTCTGATAAGGGACTCATATCTAGAATTTATCTATTACTCCAGCACCACAATAAGAAAAAGGTAAACAACCCAACCACAAAATGGGCAGAGGATATGAATAGACACTTCACCGAAGAAGACATTCAGATGGCAAACAAATACATGAAGAAATGTGCAGAACCCCTAGCTATCAGAGAGATGCGAGTAAAAACAACTATGAGATAGCATCTCACTCCACTAACAATAGCAAAGTTCAACAGAGCAACAAATAATAAATGTTGGCAAGGTTGTAGAGAGATTGGAATACTTATTCACTAATGATGAAGTGTAAAATAATGCAACCATGATGGAAGGCAGTTTGGTCTTTTCTCAAAAAGTTGAAAATAGAAATACCATTTGACCCAACAATTGTACTACTGGGAATAAACCCTAAAAAAACCATAACCACCATCCAAGCAGACATATGCACACCCATGTTTATTACCATATTAGTTACAATAGCAAAGAGAAAAAAAAAATAGCAAAGGGAAGCAACCCAACTGCCCATCAACGAGTGAATGGATAAAAAAAAAAAGATATATTCATACAATGGAATACTATGCAGCACCGAAAAATAACGAGTTCATAAAACATTATACAACATGGAGGACATTATGCTGAGTGAAATATCTCAGTCACAAAAGGACAAACACTGCATAGCATTTAAGACAGGCCTGAAATGGAGGGTTGGGAGGAGAATAGGATAAGAATGGATAGATAATGACCATTGGAACAGATGAAAGAAAGAACTGTTTAAAAGGAATATATGGTTAGGCATTATACATACAACAACAGGCCAGAATAAGAAGTTCATCATTGCAAAGAGGACTAGGGGAGAGGAGAGAGGGAGGAATTGTACAACAATGAATGATTTTTTTTTTAAGTGAACTGGGGAGAGGGAAAACAGTGAGTCGAATAAAATGTGCAACCATGAATGAATGAAAATCTAATTTCTTTGGAAACTTTCTTTAACATCACAATTAAAATAAAATTTTATTTAAAAAAAAAAAAAGCAAAGTCCCTTCTGCAGGATGTCTGAATTCTCTGTCTAGAGAGTGTTTTGTTCGTGTCAAATCAGGAGGGGCATCCACTTCTAAACATCATGCCTCTGGAAACTCTGTGAACTTTGATAAATGATGATGGTTGTGGAAGGGCTTCTGGCCCTTTGTTAACAGGGTCGCAATGAGTTGTGCTCGACTCAACGGCAGTCAACAACATGGCATTTACGCCTGAGCTGAGCAAGAGACTACCAGAGTAGCATGGAATTGATCTGGATTTTGTGTCCCCATCTCTAGGTGCCTTTTTTTGCACATTTGAATGACAAAGAAGGTGTCTGCACCTGAGTGAGCATAAAGCTTTTGAAGTTGTATTGTTACAGGAAGGATTTTATACTGCAGAATTGAATGAAATTGCCAAACAAGGACAGAATCATGACAGCCTTCAATAGCAGCCACCAGAAACAGAGATCTAGAGAGCGACGCTGCAGGGGCAGGGCCAAGGCCAGCTCTGAGGGACGGTGTCATGGAGATTGTTGTGAAGTCAGTTACAAAAGAAGAACAGAAAATAGCCAATAACTCGGCTCAGTGACATCAGTGACCACATATGGTGATATGAAGTGAGCAATCACACTTTCAAAATGATCGGAAGAATAGGGCAGAAACTAGGGTTCTGGTGGAGAGTCAAGAGATCATTTTGTAGATTATTTGGCATGGAGGCATGTTAGATTGATGTATGTGGAAGAAAGACCCAAAGAAGAGGAAGAAATTAATAATACATGAGAAAGTAAGACTAAGAGCAAGAGGAAATCCCCAGAGAGCAATAATGGGGTAGTGTTAGTGCTCCCTTGGAAGGAAGGGTGGTCTTTGTAAGAAGAGGTCTTTTTCATTTCTTGTAATGCAAGAAGAAATAGGGATTTGGTTCTGAGGCAGGCTGGTTAAGAAAACCATGAGTGCCTTTCTAACTGCTTACTTTAACTTTCTCAGTGAAGTAAGAGTCCAGAACATTACAATGAGGGAGGCCTTGGAACCAGGAGAGAGGGAGCTTCAGGTGAATGCAGAAAGTGTGAGATAATAATTTTGGAGAAGGGAAAGCAAATGGCCAGCATCCGTATGGTAGGATTTCCAGTTAGTATTTACTCATATTGTTTGTTTCTGTTGCATGGAGTCATGGGGACTCCATAAAAATTATACTAGTCACACACAACTTGTGCATTCTGTTCAACAACAGTAAACTGTTTGGCCCCAGGTTTGAGTAACTAAGTGTTGACTATCACATGTGTTTGTGGGTAGAAGGGTAAGGGCTTGAGGGTGTTTATTTAGGAATATTATAAAATGGCTCATGGAGTCTACATTAGGTAAAGAGAGATGAAAGGACAAGAGAAGTGACTAGTAGTGAAAATATAGAGGCCCTTGAGTTGGAAGATTAAGGTCAGAGAAATCACTGAGGATTAAAGGGTGAGCAGGAAATACTGAAGTCAGCAGAGAGTAGTTATTGGTGGTTACCAGGTCAGGGTTGTATAAGAGGGGTGGATGGTGGCTCTGACAAGATATTTGGCGGCTGTAAACAGAGAGAAAAGAGACTACACCCCACCCCCAGTATGAAAATACAACTGTATCAAGAGGTAATGTGAAAGCTATCTCATGACACTCATCCCCATGATCTGATAAACTAAACAGTTGAAGGACTAGGGGTAGAATTCAACACTCCTTAATCCAATTACAATCCTTATCTAATGTAAAAGAGGTTCCCTCCCCCCCTCCCCTCCTCCCCCCATGTCCAGGATGTCACTCCTTTTATCTCACAAGAGGCAAGGAGAGAGTAATTTAAGTAATTGAATCTACCTCAATATTGCCAAAAAAGAATCTCCAGGAATGGAGTGTGTCTGTTTGGATCCAGGTATCTAGGAAGCAACCTGAGACTGAGAAAGGTCGAGACATACAGCAATCTCCAAGGAATTAGATGCTGAAGGAAGCTAAGACTTTCCTTCAGAATTAATGGAGAAAGAATGCCCTTCCCCCAGGTCAGCTTCTCAGATATTTCTATTCGGTGGAGTCTCAGGGTGATGTAAATGGTTAAATTGTTGAACTACTAATCAAAGGGTTAGAAGTTTGAATCTTTCCAGAGTTTACACAGTGGTAAGTAAAGTCTGCTGGCCTACTTCTGAAAAAAAATAGCCATTGAAAATCCTACTGTGACACATATGGGATTACCATGAACTGGAGTCAATTCAGTGGCAACTGATTGCTAGGTGGAACTCTAGGCATTTGAACTTCCTAGCATGAGGATCTACAGCCTGTACAAACAAGAGTTTATGAACAAGAGACCTTGTGCAGAGACGGTATGTTCCCTACAGGGCTTGTCTGCCACTCCCTTCACCAGCTCCACCTTCCTCTGCCCCTCCTCTATCTCTTGCCTCATCTATCCCTCCTGCTCAATCAACTTCCCTCCTGCAACCACAGTGGCTTCTCTTACCTGCATACTTGATGTTCTTCAAGTGGGAAATCAACTCGCTATAATAAGTGTTTTCAGCATCATTCAGGACCTGTGGGGAAAATAGAGTGGTTAGAGTAAGTGAAGAGCTCTCTAGCTTTGTCCCTGTTTACTAATACAACTACTTAGGTTTTTCTAGCTGATAAGGAGCACTGGTTGGTAGCCTAGTGAAAAGACACCGCACTGCAACTCAAAGGCATGTGGTTTAAAACCACCAGCTATTTCACAGGAGGTGGATGGGTAATCTCTTCTCATGCAATTCATTGTCTCTGAAAACCCACCGGAGGCTCAGCTATCGGTCGGTTCTGACTGGACAGTACACAACAACAACAGCTAATTAGGCAGAAACTTCTAAGCAGAAGGAAGCAGAATATGCTTGCAGGGAGACCAACTTCTTTGGTCTCAGAAGTCTTTCAAGAGATACTTTCAAAAGAAAGGGGGAAAGAGATACTTCCACTGAAACTTTCAGGGAAAAGGAGAAGTTTTGTGATTGGTGATACCCTCAGAGAATGTTTAAAAATAAAATTTTTTTTTAAAAAAAAACCAAAACTCATTGAGCTATTGAGCTTGTTTGAGGCCATGTCAGCCAGTCAGATACATTGTGATGAAGGAAGCTTGATCTTATGAGTTCTCTTCTTCACCTTTGGAACTTTTGACAGGGAAGAGGACAGCTATAATCAAGGCAAAATTACTCCAGTGCCATCCACTGCCACATCATTCTTTAATTTTTGTGTGAGCTTTTATTTTTAGAAAGATAGAAAGGTTGCTTTTAGTGAAACAAGGTCTAATTTTGCTCGTTCTCTTCAGTCAATGATGTCGATTCAGCCTCCAGTTCCTCCTCTACTATGCATAAACCTGAGCTTCCTTGGATTTTTAACTGTCGTTTTCCATACACATGATGACTGTCAGTCCTCTGTTCCAGCTTTGCTGCCTTCTTTTTTCATTTAAACAAAGAGTCAAACACTTAATCCACTTTCAGCTATTTTCTTAATGGTTGCTTTGTTGTTGTTGTTGTTAGATGGCCTTGAGTGGACTAGGACCATAGCTACCCTATGAACACACTTAAACACAGCCCTATCCCGTGCCATCCTCTCAATCTCTGATATGCTTGAAACCGTTGCTGTAGTCACTATCAGCCTATCTCATTGAGGTATTCCTCTCTTTTGCTGTCTACTTTCCCCAGCATATTATCTTTTTCCATGGGTCAGCCACTCCTGACAACAAGCCTGAAGTATGTGAGATGAAATTTTACCATCCTTGCATCCAGGGAGCACCTTGGTTGCACTTCCTCGAAGACTTAATTATTTGCTCTTTGGAAGTCCATGGGATATTCAATATTCAAACACAACAATTGAAAGGCATCAATCTTTCTGTCATCCGTACTCCTTGCCTAACTTTATCCTGACTCATTGCCTGACTTTCAGGTTGCATGGGACACAATTAAAAATACCATGGCTTTGACCTGCACACCTTAATTGCTGTGAAAACTTGTTTACTATGTCACTCGAGACCCACTCAGCATCAGTTTCTACCAATGGCACTTTCCCCTAAGTATGGGTCACGTTTTCCTGTTTCTTTTAATGCCCCAATTTTTGTTGTTGTTGTTGAGCATTCTAGCTAATATGTGATGGCAATTTTGGATCTTGATTTTTGTAATTTTGTCATCCTGAGGGGGTTGGTTTGTGAGTTTGCTTGGTAATTTGTCTAGACTTAATCTGCACAATATCCCTCTCCAGCGGTACGCATTTACTAGTATCTTTGGCTTTGATAATTTTTACTGACAGTACCCTGCAGTGTGGAGCTCTGATTTCTACTCCAAATCAAATCTGTCCCCTAGTTTGTAATCACCCACCCCGGAAAAACACCTTTTATGATCAAGCTAGGGTTGGGCATGGGATCAGCCTCAAGTGAGAAGACCGCCGACTCCCATTGTTTTGCTCAAAATTCTAGCCATTTTCCCCAAATGAGTGTTTCTCAATTTGTTGTTTGCCTTTGGACCATTTCTTGAGTGCTGAAACAGTTGTTTCTGACAACTTGACCAGCTTAATATTTCCTTTGTGGCGGTTAGATTTGCCAGTCACTTATTACCACCCAAACTCCTGCTTCTCCCAGATTTTCTTAGAAATGCAGAATTGGGGGGGGGGGGAGAAATGCAGAACTGTTACTTCTGACCAATCACAGAACCTCATTTTGCCCTTCAGACCAAGCATGTCCTGTCAACCCTTTGCTGCTTCTGGTTCTTTTAAGTCTCTTCACCCAGGCCTTCAAAGTGTCTGAGATTAGTAACACAGAAAGAACTGAGCGAGCGTGAACAGGGCTGGAAAAGGGGTCGATTTTTCTACCCATCTCCAAGAACTGTGGACTTTGGGAAGAATTAAGGGGGGTAGGGAAGAAGACTTCTTGTCTAGACAGAATTCCATGTCTGAATATAAACTAATGGCATCACATGCAGTCAGTCACACATGCACAGTTTGAACCTACCTCACAGAGGGCCGCAACTACAGCCAAACCATCAGGGGCATCCTTGGCTATGTCATAGCTCTTGTATTTGGCATTGTAGTGAACAACATGAATCTGTAGGAGCAAGAAGTGTGTGTCAAGACAAAGTTCACAGAAGGTGCTTTTGCAGGGATTCACACTGCCCCAAACAAACAACTTTTTATCTCCATTTTCCTCTATCTGGGCTACAACCTCCAACTACAAAGATCATAAAAGTCTCAAAGAAAGGGAAGAGCAAGCATGTGATTCTGAAAACTGAGAGCATTCCCCTGGCAAACTCAACCTTCCCCAGCAGACAAACCCCACAAGCTTGGAGGTCAGAACATGCGAAGCCACCAAGTTCTGTGGGCTCTCTGAGGGGATTGAGTAAATAGGAATCTTTGTTCCTCTGGAGACTTGATAAAAGTTAGGGAACAACAGCACAAATTGGGGATGAAGCTCACTGTGGGAACATGTGAAGACTCATGTGAGGAGGTCTGTACCTGCCTGCCTGGCTCTGGTGTCCCCGGGACAGCAGTGGGATCTGCACCGCCTTTCCAATTGTGAAGGACTCAGAGGAGGACTATTGGAGGGGGTGGGGGAAGCTCCAGCCCCTGGTCAGAAAGAACAACCACTGACAGAAAGACCGGAGGCAGAGAGTACTGGCTTCCAGTCTGTTCTTTCCTGTCCAAAGAGTGACCAGACCACGCATGTTCATGAGATAGCCAACGCCCCACAGACCCTCAGTAGACTGGTCTCCTGCAGCAGGAAACATCCAGCACTTCATTTCAAGAGATGCACAGGAGGCATGGTGTTTCACTACCGAACCAATGCAAGGAACACAGCCTCTGGAGAGGGTCAGGGCGGAGACTAAGTAAGAGCTGGAAGCTCTAGTAAGGAGTGAAAGAGCCCTGAGGCCTCCTTCAGACAGGGAGGAGCCAAGTGCTGAGAAATTAACCAGAGAAGTGCACTTTCTCAAAGGTAGAGAGCCTGATTGTGAGTTTCTGGAGTCACATTTAAGGCACTCACCTCAGCCTGGCACAAAGCAACTGTCTCTTGAGATAAGTAGCCATGACATTACTTTGGTCTCTGTCTTATGCCAAGATCCTTATCCCAGAAGGGGAACCCAACAATGTGATACTTGCTTGCCTCAGGAGGCCATTAGAGACCTGATGGCCTAGTGGCAAGAAGCTGCACTGCAATCTCCAATGCACATGGTTTGGTTCGAGGCCACCAGCTTCTCTGCAGGAAAAATATGGGCAATCTCCTCCCGAGTGATTAACTGCCTCTGAAAACCCACAAGAGGGTCAATGATGAGTCGGTTCCAACTCAATGGTACACAATAACACCATATATAATATATAATGCGGAGTTTCAGACCAGAGAAGGTAAACAGAAAATTGAACATAGAAACCCAGCTGAAATTGTGAGCTCTGGTCTTGTTAGGAATTTGTTGGGAACAAGGACCCCTTCTCTCTCCTCCACACAAGGCATGAACCATTCAATAGTTGTTACATAAATGAAATGTAAACTTGATCTCAGAATAGTAACCTGACCATCATCTTTATAGAACATCTTTAGGATTGTTTTAATCAGAAAAGTGGCTACGGAGTCTGAAGGGGATACGGCCTGATCTGGAAGCCCACGATACCTCAATCATAAACCTGATCCCGTCGATGGTGTGCTCAGAGCCACTCATCTCTGAGTGCCCACCACCCCAATGGAAGTGCATCTGCTTGGCCAGATACTTGGTGCCATCAGGGGCCGTCAGGACCATGGTGGGGGGCAATTCAATCTGCACTGGAAAGAGGGCAGAAGGTGAGAATGATGTAGACGGGGACATGCTTGGTTCCATTCTCCAGCCACCCCTCAGCTGCCCATTCCCAGGACCAGTGCCAGAGGCTGACTTAGCACACCATGACAGGGCCACAAATGGGGTGGAGACTGGCACTCAGGGCTCAGGTGAGGTCAGATATGGGACGAGGTTTCCCTCGACTTGGAGCTGACACTTCTCCTGAGCACACTTTCTGCCCAAGACCAGAAGGTCAGCGGCAGAAACTGTGGAATGACAGATCCCAGCCTGTTGGCCTTGGGGGAAAAAAAAATATGGCCAATAGGTATGCCAAAAATATCCCGTTATCCACACAATGGAATACCATGCAGCATTGAAAAACAAGGAACTCATGCAATATTATTCAAAATGGGTGACCCTGGAGGACATTATGCTGAGTGAAATATCTCAGTCAC